ATCTCTCCTTCTCCTTTCTTCTCTCTCCTTCTCCTTCTCCTTCTTCTCCCTCTCCCTCTCCCTCTCCCTCTCCCTCTCCCTCCCCCACCTTCCTCTCCCTCCCCCACCTCCCTCTCTCCCTCCTTTCCTCCCCTCTTCCTCTCTCTCCCCCATCCCTCTCGCTGTACTGCATAATCTATATGGATGATATATTGTGTTATTCAACAAGAATGTAAATGCAGTGGAATTATTTTCTAGAATTGAAATATTAAAGTGTGTTTCATTTCTCTTTCGTTGACATAAAAAAAAAAGTTTCTTTTTTTATCAATCATTGTGATAAATTTCAGAGTGGCTATTTTTTGCTTTAATTCTTTCAGTTAACTCACTTATTCCCATACAGGTTATCAACCAGAGGAACTACCACACGAAGGTCTGTTTTTTTTTTTAGAACGGATGTAAACATGTGTATACAAAGTTCTGATATTGTGGTGGTTATTAAGGACACAAATGTGTAATTTTTAGCTAGATTAGAAATTTCCTCTTTATTTCTCTTGTATTGGTGTCTTTAAATGATTATAGATCAGTAAATGTATATATGTGTATTACTGTATTTATGTATAAGGATTCTTAACAGTGCTTTAAATTTCAAAATGACTCGCTATTTTCCACATTCTTTCTCTTAGTTAATCCACTTCTTCCTTGTACAGGTTATCCACCAGAGGAACTGCCTCATGAAGGTCTGTCATGGAATCTGCTCATTTACTCCCTTTGTGAATTTTGTGTTGTATGTTTTTTTTTTTTTTTTTTTTTAATGGTGTTCTGTTTGTATATTTAATTATATTCTATACCCTTAACACTTTTGATGCTAAGTGTTGTTTTAGTTATTCTGCCTTAGTTATTTTGGTGGTTATCAATACTGTTATTTTCTGCCCTCTATCCTTAAACTTTGCTTTTATTTGTGATTAGCTTCCAACAACGCCATTATTATAGAAAATGGAAAACGTATTTGCTCTCTATTCCTTCTGTTCTTCACTGTTATCAAAGCGATAGTGAAGGGGGGAATATTGCATTCCAAAAGATCAGCACAAACTCAGCATGAAAATTGGCTGTGTAGAAGGGTGATATAATGATAAAACTATTTTGCAAGTAGAAGGTTTGTTCTATACAGCAGAGGCAGAAGAGGTATTCTAAATTCAATGTATGCTTAATACTAAAAGTATAAAGATGAATTTTGCAAAGGAAACCAGGCAGCTTGAAACTGAATATATCTCACTCTTTCCATATGCTGACCAGACAATGACAATGATCCTACACTGTGTTGTCAGCTGTATTCTTAACTGTTGACAACTTACTGTGTTTACATTGTGTGAATTTTTTCTTTCCTTTTGTTGTTGGGTATTGATTTTTTCTCTTGCTTTGAATTATTTAGATTTTCTTTCTTTTTTGTGTTATGAAGATTTGTATAAAGTGGCAATTCTTGTGTAAGAAATTTCATCAGTTGTCCTTTGATTTCTTACTTTGCATGTCATTTTTTAATATGGTATTCTTTGAATGTATGATTCTCACTTAGTAAGAGTTGTAGGAAGGGCATTTATGTTTTATAATCACAAATTTTTCTTATTTTTAGTCCCTTTTGTACCAGAGTCTTTATTTTTCACTCATGATTATCTGTCTTTTATAGATTGGCAAGCAGTCAACTATCAACGTTCATTAGGTCTGTAAAAGGACTTTATTGCAAGCATTGATCCTGATTTTCCTAATTACTCCTCTGATATTTTGAATGTAGTACTACTTTTCCTGTTTATTCTAACCATAATGTGGTTTTCTTTGTTCAATTTTATCCTTTCAGTCCTCACAGCTGATCCTGCAGTTTTGGAGAGCATTACTGTGCTGATGCAATCTGAGGTTGAAATACCCTTTCTGTTGCAGTGTTAAAGTTTGGCTTATAACCTTCCTCTTATTGCATTTGTTCTTTCCCTTCTTTTCCCTCTTTTTTCTCCCAAAGGAACCATATGCTTCATTAACAGATTTTATGCCTATCACCCAGCCTTAAGAATGAGGAAAAATGTAGTCTACAACTCTTAGAGATCACAAGTTTGCTGCTGCCACCACCATGCTTTGATCCCAAAAGCATAATCCTTGATTCCTGTGTTTGATTTCCGGAAATTCTGGTGTTCCTATTACAGGTGTTATTGAGATGTTAACAGTGACAGTTTTTTTAAAGAGCCTTGTCTGTGTTTCTTGGATGACTTATAGATTTCATTAGTTTTTACTACATGATAATGCTGTAGTCAAGCCCTCTTTTTCTTGTTTTTGAAGTTGTTTACAGTCTTTTTATGCCATAGCCTCAGAAATGGGTAAGCTTTGTGATATTCCTGCATTTCTTATTTCTTGATTATTTTTATCTGATCCCACAGGTGATGGCTCCAACAAGAATATGGAGGACATGATCCGAGAACTCTCCACAGCCCTTTCTGGCGTCAAGCACGAGCAAGACTACATGGAGGTCCGTGAGCGCATT